CTCACTTTCTCACTGTGCGGCACTGAGAGACGCGATCTAGCGTCCTTGTCGAAGACACCGCACGGCGCGGGATCGAGTCCTAGCAATGAAGAAGCCGCAGGATATGTAGTCAGTCCAGCGACTGACCGCTTGCCTAGGAGCAGCGCCGTCCGTACGTCCCGTCTTCCGTGTTGACAGCTAGCGCAGGCGTTGCGGGGGACGTACTTTATGGTCCGTCGCTTGCGGTTCGTCCGGGGAGGAGCGCTTGCGCCTGCACGCTTATATTGAGTATACACGCGCAAGCCTCCGACACAAAGCCGCCGTTATACATGTGCGCTATATATTATATATACGGTGTGATTGATGCGTGTGCGTAGTGTAGGTATAAACACGTAACCCGCGGCTACGCTTACACGCTGAACTGACTGCCGCTGACGGCTACACTGTGAGCGGACGCTGCCGCGACGGCTCGGTGAAATAGGCAGGACCGCGTACGCTTGATTACGCCAAGCAGCAAGTCGGGGCACGCAGACGACCGCCGCGGAGCCTCGGCGCACCTCCGGGGTTATGTATCGTCTGCCCGAAATACAGCGCGCGCGCATGACGACGGGCGTGGTGACGAGCGCTGAATCTTTAACGCACCAGTTCTCGAGAGCGGAGCTGGCCGCTGCCGCGTGCATGCGCGACGTCGTCGTACATTTAATCCTACAGCTCGCCGTGATTTTTCACGAACGGAGGTCGGACTTCTGACCGCCCAGTCGATGAATAGAGGGCGGCTTGCCAAAGAAAACTCGAGAGGTAGCGAGAGAGGAGGATGAGAGAGAGAGCAGAGCAGAGACGAGAGAAAAGAGAGAGGAGAGGCAGAGAGAGAGAGACGACGAGATGAGAGAGTAAGGAGAGATAGAGAGAGCGAGAGGTGGGGGGGGGGGGAGACGAAGAGAGCGAAAGAGAAAGAGAGAGAAGAGAGAGAACGAGGATAGAGAAAGAAAGAAGAGAGAGTGGAGATGTAACCGTATGGAAATTTCCTATTAAGCAATGCAAACCATGTATGCAATTGTAATAATGAACATACTGAGTGTTTCCCTGGGTTAAACATACTAGGCTAGACGTGCCATCTGGAGAAACGTGGGTGGGGGCACCTCACTATGAATCCTTTATATCTGCCACGTTCGGCAACTTCCTGCATCTACTCACGCGACTATGATGAAAGCTTCCTAGCTTAATACTGCTATACTAAGCTCGATATTCATTGGCTTGAGATAAACCATCAAGGTAAGGAATTCACAGAAATGAAATGGCAATTGTACCGTTGCTTGAGTAATGCGTCCTGCAGCAGCACCGAATAAGATTACTTCTTATAGACCTTCTTCGTCTTTCGCTATCACTTGCAGCAACGATCTGTCGCTAACGCTGACCAACTAGCGAGCTATTTTAAACCTTATGTGAGGGGGGGTTGGTCGTAGTATGCTGGTAATGGCTATTAAAAATCGCAGGAATTGCGAGCCGCCATTGATCACGCGTGTTTTTGCTGACCTATAGAATAGACTCGTTGGAGTAAGCGAAACATTTCTGTAGCGGGTTTTACGCCGCACAGACGGTATGTACGTACGTACGCATCACACAAACATCGCAGTGCACGCACGCAGCACACTCAGGTACCGCAGTACTAGCATACATGCACGCGAACAGACGCAGCACGCCACGCATCGCACGCATAATATATATTATCTATATACCAGAGTGTTAATAACTGGTTATTATATAGTAGATAACTAATGTTATTATTCTGCTCTTGATTATATACTCGACTCATGTATCACGTAACGCCTCTCTCTCTCTCTCTCTCTCTCTCTCTCTCTCTCTCTCTCTTTCTTTCTCTCTCTATTTCCGCCGAATTGCCACATGAGTATACCGCACACGTTGAACAGCTGAAATACGATGATCCAGTACAGCTGTGAGGGGCCTAGTCTCAATCCACTTGCTATGGGCAGACCGGTTCGAAAGTACTACAAATGAATAGACTGGAACTATATTGAAACCGCGTAGCTTCACGCCATATATGCCGCCTAATGTGCGGTTCCATTGCAGCCGATCTCAATCGAGGTTTTGCGTGCATGACCTTGATCATCTCAGAAGTTCATCATAATAGATAGTGTGCATAAAACCAAGACCACACACTCGCTCTGAGCTTGATAATAGCAAGAGCGGATAATACCTTATTATTATATGTATGTATGTTATTATTATGTATTATTAGCTCTTGATAATAGTGAGCATTTACTGCGTCGCGTGGGTGCATTGTCGACATGCATGGCTTCGGGCAAGACCCCTTTACTCTCATTCTACATCATGACCGGACGGTCCCCGTCGAAATTCACGGGGTCGTAATATCAGCCTGATTTTACGCGCAGACCTAAATGCTGCTTATCAAAGTTTAAGGGCCGACTATCGCTTTCAGTGAAGTGCGTTCAGAGAGCGCTCGGGGATCTAGTGTGCTTCTAGTTGGCATCATTCGCGGTGAACGACGTGCACTCGCTCTACGCAAGTGAACTAAACTAGAACTTCGCTCGAGACTCGTCTGCGCTGTGCCGCTCTCGGTTGTACAACGCGCATCATCCCGGTGCCCCACATGACGACGACGGCCAATGAGCGTGAGCACAGCCTCACATGTGTAGCAGCTGACGTGTGTTCTCGACAATCTGGGGCATGAATCTATTGAACGTTCCTATGGCTGATGCCTCGGTATACTCCCTCATCGGGTCGGATACAAACCGTGCCCCGAATGATACCTCACCTGCAGAGAGCGATCACGGGCTAATATATATATATATATATATAGAGAGAGAGAGAGACAGATGACAGAGACAGAGACAGAGACGAGACACGAGAAGAGACAGAGACAGAGAAGAGACGAGAGAGAGGAGAGAGAGAGAGAGAGAGAGAGAGAAGAGAGAGAGAGGAGAGAGAGAGAGAATGAGAGAGAAGATAGAGAGAGAGAGGAGAGAGAGGAGAGAGAGAGAGAGAGAGAGAAGAGAGAGAGAGAGAGAGAGAGAGAGACTCTATATTTATGTGTCAGTGTGCGGCAGCGTGCGTGCGGTGGACATGTGTGTTGCAGAGGAGCATTTGCACGGAATTTACAGGAAATTGTCGGCAATATTACTATACTAGGCCGGTAAATCGGTAGCATTATATTTTATTGAAACGCTACAAGTGCCTGTACTCATCACATCGCCACACGTGACGCTGCCACGTCCACATGACATATACGAAACGTTCGTGTGAGTTTCGGGTATGAGAAATAAACAAAAAAAAGGAACTCCGTCTTTGTGCACATGCACAACAGCGCGTTATCGCTTGGTAGGTAATCGAGACCAACTCCGAGACGCCGTAGCGAAACAGAAACCGAACACGAAAGCATTCGCGTGCACTTCCCCGCCGAAAAGCTTGTCGTACGAGCGGCTGACGTCATGATGACGCGCTTGACGTCGGCGCGTTGATCCGCGATGCCTGCACGCGGCGTACAAGAATTTGCGGCTGTGCATCGAGCGAGCATCTGATTGACGAGCCCCGAACGAATGCTGTACATGAGGAGGGGGAGCGTGGCCTGGGGATAACTCGGCACATATCCATCCATCCACCCTCGCACGCCTTCTCTCCGTTTATAGCAGAAGTCCTCGGCTAGCGTATGCGCGCGCAGCGTGTGCTGAAGCCCGATCTCCCTAACTGAAGCGAGGAGCGCGCGGGGGGGGGGTGTTTCCCGTGCATTTTTAATAGGATCATTATACCATAGGATCAGGAGTAGATAATAGAAGATAGATAATAGATAGATAGATAATAGATCTTCTATTATCTACTCCTGATAGGATGATAACATCGATGGTGACTCACGCGCTGTGCGTCTGCTGCGCGGCGCGTCCTTGGCAACGCAAGGTCGGTAGCGCGTTGGCTGCCCGGCGACCCCGATTCGATTTCCCTTCAGCGGGATTGAACGCTGGTCGAAACCCGCTTTCATGGCGCGCACCCGCATTAACCGGGGATGCTTCGCGGAGGGGATGCAGCAGTGTATTGCTACAAACAAATACACATGCTTATTCACCCCTGGCATCATCCTCACATAGCTACATCCTGTGTGTGTGTGACTGTACGTTTGTTGTCTATGTCAGTATTTGCCACTCGAGCATGCATGCAGCAGATGTAGGAAATCATGTCGGCGATAAATGGTTCCTACGCAACATCCCTCCCTAGCCACACGCCCAACGCCCCACAGTTTCATCCCTAGTTGCCTATGTGCAACATTAACAGCCGCTGCAACAGTCAGCTCCCTCCCATTTACGACAGAGCCGAGTCCGATCGCGTTGCGTCAGGGTGACCCTGCATGAACGCGTGTTTTCACAGCCAGGCGTTGAACTCCATATGTGGCCTTTCTAGAGAAAAAAAACACGTTAGAATTATAGAGAGAGAGAGTCTATTTACGGGCACGCGAAAAATAAAAGGCGAAAAGGGGGAAGGCGCCGATTACCTAGCTAGCTGCGGGTGATTACGATCTTTCGTTTTACGATTTTTTCAGACTTCTCTCGCAAGGCTCGCTCGAGACGAACAACATAATCGATGGAGCTCGTCTCACCGTGCTGCCAAACGTCGAAACAGGCATCATGGTGAGTGCCGCCCGTATTTCTAGACGCGCTAACAACGAACGCTCGCTCTGTTCGCAGCCGTTTCGGCGCTATACGAAATATCGACACCGTAAACCGCGCCGTTACTTATAACGCCTCTCGCCCAGACCTTGTGCATAGCATATTCATATCGAGCCGCATTCGTGGAATATCTCTCCCTTTTTTGTCACCCCTTTCTCTCTTTCTCCGAAAGTGCTGAGAGGCTGAAACTGCCCTAGTTGCGATGACGTCACAGCGCCGCGGTTGACGCCGCGGGCACGTGGGGGGAGATGAGCTGGAGGGGATAGCCATGCCGATATTAGTTAACGAGTGAACGTTGCACGTGTACGCGCGCTACGTACGTCATCGTCGCAGCCTGCAGCGCTGCGCCTTCTCCTACGCTTTTACGTGCCATTCTATTTTTGCCGAGCGCTCGATCGGTTTTCCCGCGCCCCTGACATTTATCGCAGCGTGAGCGACCTCCATACAGGGCCGTAGCCTGTGTTTGGGAGGGAGGCAAGGGGCAGCTACCCTCTAGACTTTGGAGCAAAATTAAAAAAATAAGCATAGCTGATAATTGTAAATAAACCTAACGTGATTTCTTTCGTCACTTATCCGTGAGAGCCTTGTCTCAGACCCATCCCCACCACGCTATGGACGTTGATCAAGAGCTGCGCCCGTCGCTCATCATTACACAGTTGAGTCGTGAAATTTTGCCCCCCCCCCCCAGAAATTTGTTCAACCTGCGGCCCTGCCACATATACCGACTGGATGTTACATAGCGGCCGCTCGGTGAAGCCACCGCGACACCACATGACACCACTCGCAGAAGTAGTATTGTTTGTAGCGATGGTTGACAGACGATGCAGATAGAATTCCTACGTGTGCAGCATTCAATTGTCGAAACACACAACAAAGAGATTATGGGGGGGGGGACCACTTCATTTGTTGGTTGTACATTCTAAACTGTTAAAGCATTGTATATTGGCCTATATTAGTAAAAATCGCCATGTTTGTGGTGGATTAGGGATAAGCTCTACTACACATATACCCGCCAGAGTTAGAATTGTTATATGAAGATCATCAGTGAACTATAACATACAGCTGGGTGGTTTACATTCCTTTCGTGGAAATAACCCACTCTCTCGCCTTCCGTTTCAGAGCCAGAAACCGGACATACATAGCGTGATGAAGGCGTTAGAGAATTTGAGCGACAGCCAGGTAGGTCGTGTTTAGTTTTACGCGTTCGCAGCGTCCGTTGGTAAACACACACGACCCGTAACTTTGATGGCGCCGCGCAACAGTCGCTCCTTTTCTTACCTTTTCTGACTACCTTCTCTGACTACTTTTCCTGACTACCTTCTCTGACTACCTTCTCTGACTACCAACGGCCTATACACGCCTGGAATTGCTCCCGTGAAACAATCGCGCCACAGCGCCCACACGCCCCGCGGTATACGGATTATCTCGGCGCGGCAGTAAACGAAGGGCGCGTTCGTATATATATATATATATATATACGCTGTGGGCACGAGAGAACTTTACGACTATAATATTCGCGAACAATGGCGCGATTTGTCGGCTGCGACTTCCTCGGCGAGTAATCTAGCAGCGACGGCCGCCAGGTGGTACGTAGTTCGTCTGGTAGTCGACTCGAGCATTAAATGCCGGACGTGAAATGCACGAAGACGGCGTTTGTCGCGCGGTAGCGGATAGCGTGCAGGATAGCGTAGCGGATGCAGCGTAGGCAACGAGGCGAGATCGATTCTGAAAAACAGCAAACTCGACGAAAAATCGACCAGCAAATCTCGGCTGCGTGACGCTGACGTCATACGCTGTTGCCCGCGAAGAGAGAGAGGAAGATAGAGAGAGCGCGCGCGAGAGAGAGAGGGAGAAAGACGAGAGAGAGAGAGAGAGAGAGAGAGAGAGAGAGAGAGAGAGAGAGAGAGAGAGAGAGAGAGAGAGAGAGAGAGAGAGAGAGAGAGAGAGAGAGAGAGAGAGAGACGAGAGAGAGAGAGAGAGAGTAGACGACGAGTACGACGACGAGACGACGA